AAACAGAAGCACGTCAATGATTTTCATAAAATCTGGTGGATCAATCGTTTGATCTTAAAAGATGTGGTTTTCTACCAAACCAAACTTGCTTGGACCCGATTCACGATTTCATTGATCGAATCGTCCATGCCGAGCTGGTTCTAATTTCATTGGTGTAAATAGTCAAAATCCATATTTCGAAAGGGAAGATGTCAAAATCGTGTCAAAATGTGTCCGATCACTTGGGAGGGGTAGGAGTAATGTTAAAACAAGTCCACTGCTAGTACTCTAAGAGGCCGACTAATGCAGGCTCGCACATTGTACAAATTGAATTTATGACCGGTCAAGGTCCAGACAAGCCTAGCATGTTTGGAACATGGTAGGCGACAAGAATCATATCAACCATTCGATTCGACACACTATACCTCTAGAGGTTACATAGGTTTGAAAGAATATAAAAAAGAGAGGGGGAAAAAAAAACTATGCCCCTGTTTGACTCAGATTTTAATCAAAGTCAAAGTCGAAAAATCAATATTAATCATATCTTTTAAGGAACCCACAACTTTTTAACCACACATTTCAAAAACTTCTATTAAAATCTACTAAAAATCTAATTTTAATCCCTCCGTATATGTAAGGTGAAAATTACCTGCAATGAGTCCATGGGTATGGAATTTTGGTGACATTTGCATGAAGAGCTTTTTGTACATCTGGCCTATTCATATATACCTGAGTATAATCTGTCACACAAGGGTCATACCCTGCTGGTTTCTTGTGCCATTCATCCTGTAAAAATCAATTTCAACGACAAATAAAATTTCCACGAGATATTCGATATGCTCGACTCAACAATACTGTCCACTACTGAACTAGAAGAATAAAAAACTCACGATGTTAGACATCAGTCGAGGAGCGACACCTTTGATCCGCTGAAGTTTCCTATTCGTGCTGCTGGAATTTCTGTTGACACAAGTCGGAGAATATAAGCTATACATATCCACAATTTTGTAAACATCGTAGTATTTGTTGAGAGCTTCATCGCATTCATCAGTCAGATGTTCATTGCTAAAGTTGCACTTGGTTTTAATTTCTTGGTACACCCCATCTGAAATCACAGCATGGTCCCATGCGTAGTGAATCATTCCAGTTTGATCCATTTCATCATCCACCAATGCATTCCCTATCTGTAGTTAGAATCGAAATGAAGTCAAATATCATCAAACTGTACACGACAATGTATAAGATTTTAAATTAAACGCACCATAAATCCCTTGAGATTAATGCGGTTGTCCTTTGTAACTTTTTTATTGCTATCGAAAATAACTTCCGCAAGTTGAGGGACATAATGACCTAAAATATACATCGTCAAATTGAAGAAAAATAAAATAAGTAGGATTTTTTTATTTATTTTTGGTTAAGAAATAAGGTAGCTGTTTATTAAAGTAAAAGCAAAATAAGTGGAAAGTTTCTTAAGTTTGACTACCTGCATAACTTTCTCCAGCAATGTAGAACTCGTGAGATTTATATTGTGGAAATCTTCTGAACCAGTTGACCAAAAAGTTGTATGAATCCTGAGCTGATTGATTACAAAAGCAAAAAAGTAAAAATTACTATAATGGAGGTTTTCAAGCGTGCAATTCAATCACACTAATTATAAATTATAATGTAAAAGATTTTAACTTATTTTTCATAAGTCAAAATTACTTCTGAAAATAAAAAATTGCTTTTGAATATGTTTTGATACTTTTCTAATAGTACTTTGTCTGAATAGAAAGGCTTTTAGATAAAATTAACTTTTTTCAAGAATCTTTTCTATAAGAAGCAGAAGTCATGTCAAACAGATCCTTGATACTATCTGGTACCATAAGAATAAAGATTGAGTTACATTACCGGTCACTTTGTCACCAAGCTCATTGATATCATTGCTGGTATTTGTATACGAAAATCCAACACCGACGGGAGATTCTACAAAAAGTAAGTTGGCCGCTACACAAGGAAAAAAAGTAAAATGTAGTTTTAACGAAGCGGTACAAAAGTAGTTATAATATTGGAGATGATTTAATGGTTTTAACTTCTTTTTCTTACTCAATGCATTACCGTGTTATCTAATCTACCTCAATTCCGACGTGCCAAAAGGAAAATTGAAGGTTGCCAAAAATCACGATGAGAAAGTGAAGTATATAAAATAATTTTGCATTAATCATACCTTTATTCCAGGAGTTATTATTTAATTTGAGCTCTGGTTTGCCTTTTTGTGTTAAAAAAGGCCCTAATTCTTCAGCTTCACCGTAACCAACAGATGAACAACCAGGACCTGAAATGTTCAAAAAAATAAATAAATAAATAAATAAATAATAAAAGATAAACACTTAAATTATTTAAAATAGAGAAAATTGTTTCTTCATTAACTATTTATTTATATTATTATTTTTATAACAATAAATTTCTTTGGAGTCCATATTTCCAAAATGAAAATTGCAGGCGACGGAAACAATTATTGTCCACATATAAAGTAATATCAATAACATTACATCCCAAAAAATAGTATTAATAATAATAAATTGTGTGAAAGACAGTTTCAGCTAATACTTCTAAATAAAATTAAAGAATTGAACGAAAATTTCTCAAATATCTCGATAATATTCATATCCTTTAGACATATTTACTCCATTTTTAACTCAATACTTTCATAAAAAAATAAAAATTCAATATTTCGATAGTGAAAAGTCATTTCTAGTCAA